GCCGGGAGCAGAGGAGGAAGGAAGCAAGTTAGAGGAGATAAACATGTCGACCACCCAACCACATGATGTGCCAAACTCGCATCTGCCGCCATCACAGGAAGCCCCTCACCGCATGCACACTATAATGACCCAAACGTATAAGTTGTAGTTTGTTGTGATCCCATCGAACATCAGTTGTTGTTTGCCGTTCTCTAGCAAGGTGCGTCTCATGGTCCGCCTCCTCGTTTCCCTCCCGATAAACCCACTTCCAGATATCACGGCCAGCTTCTGGACTATATTTTTTTATACCGCTTACATAAATAATACAACTTGTTCTGCATTCTGGCGATGGTGCGCGCGTGCAGTTCATTCAAGCACTTGTGTCGGCCCGTGAACCACCTAGTCACACATTGACTGTCCCCCCGCAGTTCCATACACAGCCAGTCTGCATTAATCCTCCATCGTGTTTCATCCGAGAACAAAACCGCCAATCCTTTAGCTTGACGGTCGAGTTCTTTCTGTTGTTGTGCGGAAGTACTCTCCTCCTCCTTCCGATGTGTACCCGAAGAAGCGTCTTTGATCAGGCTACATGTCAATGACTAAAGGAGCAAGAATCGCGTTTCTGGAAATGACCAGTCGAACTTCTTGTAAATTTCGAAAAACCGACCTGACACATTGTCGTCTCTCAACTGGAAGCCGGCGTCAGCGTCTGGGCGTTACAGGGTTGCCAGCAACGTCGAGGCGCGCTGGCGCGAATCCTGATGAAGATTCTGGCCAGCCGCCAGGCCAACCATTCCCAAATGCAATGGGCAGCTCTTTTGACGACGGAGCGCGCTGGCGCGAATCGAATGGTGATTCGCGCTACCCACGCAGTGAAACTTTCGAGACGCATGTGCGCGGCGCTCCGTCGAGAGACACACTTCGAGAACGCCCGTCCTCCAAGCCTTCTCAACGAATGCGCGCAGCACGCAGGTGAGAGCCACACTTTTACTTCCCGTGTGTGTGTGTGTGTTTTGGATATTTCAAGCCTCGGGATTGTCAAGGGGGGGGACACTGAGGCAAAGCTGTGTTGGATATTTCAAGCCTGGGGATTGTCGAAGCGCTTGGCCCGCCCTGCCGCCGCGCCCCGTGGTCGAGACGAGGAGCTATCAGGAAGGAAGAGGGAAGGCCAGAGGACCCCTGGGATGCACCAGCGATGCCGGATCCCTGGGAAGGCTAGAGGATCCCTGGGAAGACTAGAGGATCCCTGGGAAGGAACAGGGAAGGCTAGAGGATCCTCCTGTCCCAAGCCACGCCTTCATGCTGCACGCGCGCTGTTTCTCCAGGGGAAGCAGCACCCTGGCCATGCCAGGCGATCGCCCCGCGGATCTTCCTGTCAGGCGTAGTGTGACGTAGACCCGTGTTGAACAAATTCGGCCTCCCCATCCCAGGGGCCGTGTCGGTCCGATCGATTTGATTCGATATCGACTTCGGCGAGTCAGATTCGCATCAATTTTGGCTTTCCAGAGATCCGATGCGGCTCGATGCTCGCACTGTCCATCCTGGCGCAGTCCGGTCCGATCTCGATGCCGTGCCGATGCGGCCTGATCCGAAGCACCTTCCGATCAGGCTTTGGTTGTCCGATTTGATGCTGCGCCTGCCCCGCCGTCCTTCCCGTCACAAGATATGCCGTGAGGTGGGGGCATCGGTATGAAGGGAGCAGCGACCGGCTGCCCCGCCGTGAGACGGGGCCGCCCCCACGGGCGTGCGGGAGTTGCTCGCTCCGCTGCGTGCCTGGCCGTGGTGTTTGTAGGTCTTGCAGAGGAAGTCTCGAGCGGGAGCGCTGTCTGCGAACAATCACTCGTCCGTGTGTGTCACTCGTGACGCCTCTCGTTTTTCCAAGGTCCTCCTCCAAGCAGAGCCGCCGCGCCCTCCGTAGCTGTGCGGCCCTGCCGTGCATGCCGGCAGTACGCGTGAGGAGGTCTCACGCGACACAACGTCGTCTGGGAAAATCAACCTTCCCTTCGTCAATGTGGCTGTGGAACAAACTGTGAGACGGATGCGCAAGGCGCTGTGGCCAGAGCGGCATCTTGAGAAGGACCCGTTTTCCACCAGTGTAAATGTTGGATTCTTCCGCGATGGATCTGCGCATGGATAAGAGTTTTCACCATACTATGTTCGGAAAGGGGGTATTCATTTCAGACGTTTCGCGTAACCTCACCAGCCTATCCAGAAACGATGCCCAGGCGAGTTATCCTGATCAGGGATGTAGAGGATCATGCCGTGAAATGAGAGGTTGGGGGTTTGGGAAGCCGTCTTACCCCAAGAGGGGGAGGATGGAGTAGGAATCGGGGGAGGAGGAGGAGGAGGAGCAGGAGGAGGATGATGAGGAGGCGGAGCAGGAGGAGGAGGAGCGGGATGAGGAGGAGAACGGAGCAGGGAGTCACAGGCGGATGTGGAAGAGGAAGAGGAAGAGGAAGAGGATGATGATGATGATGATGATGATGATGATGATGATGATGATGATGATGATGATGATGATGATGATGATGATGATGATGAGGATGCTGATGATGCGGAGGAGGAGGAGGAGGGGGAGGGGGTAGGTAGAGAGACGGGAAGAGTAGTAGTAGTAGTAGTATAGTAGTATTAGTAGTGTGGTAGTAGGTTGTAGTTAGTAGTCGTAGTCGTTAGTCGTAGTCGTAGTAGTAGTAGTAGTAGGTCGTCGTAGTAGTAGTAGTGTAGTAAGTAGAAGTAGACGGTTAGTAGTAGTAGTTAGTAGTTAGTAGTAGTAGCGTCGTCGCGTCGGCGTTCGTCGTCGTCGTCGTGTCGTAGTGTAGAGTAGTGTATTAGTAGTAGTACTATAGTTGTAGTAGTCGTTAGTAGTAGTAGTAGTAGTAGATAGTAGTCGTAGTGGTAGTAGTAGTAGTAGTAGTAGTAACAGGAGTAGTTGTAGTAGGTCTAGTAGTAGTAGTAGTAGGAGTAGTTAGTTAGTAGAGTAGTAGTAGTAGTCGTAGTCGTAGTCGTAGTGTAGTGTAGTAGTAGTAGTAGTAGTGAGTAGTAGTAGTAGTAGTAGTAGTTCGTCGTCCTCGTAGTAGCAGTTCGTAGTAGTAGTCGTTAGTAGTAGTAGTAGTAGTAGTAGCAGTAACGGTAGTAGTAACATAGTAGTAGAAGTAGTAAGTCGTAGTAGTAGTGTAGTAGTAGTAGTAGTAGTAGTAGTAGTCGTAGGTAGCGTAGTAGTAGTAGTAGTAGTAGTAGTAGTAGTAGTAGTTAGTCGTAGTAGTAGTAGTAGTCGTAGTAGTAGTAGTAGCGGTAGTAGATTAGTTGTTAGTATAGTGAGTTATAGTAGTAGTTGTAGTAGTCGTAGTAGTAGTTAGTAGTAGTAGTATTAGTAGAGTAGTGGTAGGTCGTAGTAGTAGTAGAGTAGTTTAGTAGTAGGTTAGTAGTAGTAATAGTATTAGTAGTGGGGTTAAGTAGTTGTAGTAGTAGTAGACGTAGTAGAAGAAGTAGTAGTAGTAGTAGTAGTATTAGTAGTAGTAGTAGTAGTAGTAGTAGTAGTAGTGTAGTAGTTTAGTAGTAATGGTAGTAGTAGAGTTCGTAGTAGTAGTAGTAGTAGTAGTAGTAGTAGTAGTAGTAGTAGTAATAGTAGTAGTAGTAGTAGCAGTAGTAGTAGTAGTAGTAGTAGTAGTAGTAGGATGTTTAGTAGACATGGTAGTAGTGGTAGTAGTTGTAGTAGTGGTGGTAGTAGTAGTAGTAGTAGTAGCAGTAGTAGTAGTAGTAGTAGTAGTAGTAGTAGTAGTGGTATTCGTAGTAATAGTATTATTATTAGTAGTAGTAGCAGTAGTAGCAGCAGTAGTAGTAGTAGTAGTAGTGGTAGTATTAGTAGTAGTAGCAGTAGTAGTAGTAGTAGTAGTAGTAGTAGTAGCAGTAGTAGTAGTAGTAGTAGTAATAATAGTAGTAATAGGATCAGCAGTAGGAGTAGGAGGAGGAGGAGGGGGAGCAGGAGGAGGAGGGCGAGCAGAAAGGCCAGTAGTCTATTATATGCCTTTCGGAGTTTGTTTGGATGTCTCTTGAGATCTTCTGGTAGTCCCCTTGGGGCGTCTTGTGGGCCTCTTGGCGGTTCTGGGTGCTTTTTGGAGTGTCTTTGGGTGCTTTCGGGGAGGCTCTTGGGGCCCCGTGTGGGTTTCTTGGGAGCGTCTTGAGGACCTCTTGGGGCTTCCTGGGCGCCTCTTGGGGCCCTCCTGGGGCCCTCTTGGGAACCTTGGGGGTCATCTTGGGGCGATCTTGGAGAAGATCGATCAAAGAAGGGGGAGAACAATTTTGGCGCCCCCACCCCAGGAGGCCAAGATGAGCCCCGAACCTACGCAACATCAATGACTTGTGTTTCTCGCCGAGGCCATCTTGGACGCTCCAACGTCTCGTGGAGCCCCCCTCCTGACCCAGGGGTGGGGGGTAGTAGGGGAGGAGAAAACCCCTATCTTCTTGAGTTTGCCTATCGCAGGTCGGCTCTTGGGGTGCTCCTGGTTTGCCTGGCGAGTCTTTGAATCGCATGGCGGCTGAGGTTGTAAGCAATATACAGATCATTTGCTGTATTGTATAATACTTCGCAGTGGCTGTAAGTGAGGAATAAAACGCCTCTCAAATGCAACCGTCTTTTCCGCCAGCGCTTGAGGAAGCAAGAAGAGAGTAGCGATAGCGGGGGGGGACAAAAAACAAAAAGGGGGAGGAGAAAACCCCTCCCCGAAGGGGAAGAAGGAGTGTTGGAAGTTGAATCGCCTTAAGCCTCTCACGCCCTAAAGGGCTAGTGGGATTCCATTCGACGGCTTTAATGCCAAACCAGGCCGTATGCCTAAACAGTTGTTTCCATTGGCTCCTCGTTGTGACACTGGTTTTGCAGTTGTTTGCAGCATTAGGCTCGTATTGAGTCCGATCGAATCGGTTTTGAATGCCGGGCAGGATCGGCAGGCACTGCTCTTCATGCTTGTTTGTTTTTTACCAGCGACTGTCTATCCATGATCTCGAGCAGTCAGGGTCATGTCCGCGCTCAGCCTTGTAGGCTCGGGTCACGGACGGCGGCTCGGGTAGCTATGCCCAGAGATGCCCTCGCTCGGC